TAAAAAGGAACCCTCAGAATAGTACCATTATTTTACAGGTATGAAGCACATTTCCCAAGAAGAATCAAGCCTCAGACTCTTAACAGTATTATATATATCTTGAGCCTGTTCACTTGCAGATGTACTAAGATGGGGATCTGATTTCTTCTTGTCAGGTGATGAGTTTTCTAGTGAAGTGTGCTTGGTCACAGTTAACTAGATTATGTTCAAGCCTGTGGCCAAGAGGTCACTGTTCCTTGACAAACCTCACAGGTTTTGAGACCGAGATAAAACGGTAATACTCTATGTGGAAACAGCAAGGCTTTTCCTTAGTCATAAGTAACCTATTTTCTGTGCAGCTTATTTGGAGACAATAATTTAAAATAAGTAATGCCTAGATTTCTATCACTGGATTTAAAAAGCCCGATAGAAGTAGTAGCCCTGGAGTATTTTACTATTCTTCAGTCTTTTATATTGTGATAAGAAAGGAGAAAGATTAATGCCATTTTCATTTTCCAACATTTTTGTTCTTTTGTGGTTTGCTCTCCTTAAACAATATCCTTTTTGGAAGATTTGATGTTATTTCCATAATTATTATATGGTTGAAATTATACTTCATTTTTGTTTTGCAGGAAGAAGAAATGTTTCGTCCAAATATGTTTTTTCTGCTTTTGCTTCCACCTATTATATTTGAATCTGGATATTCATTGCACAAGGTCAGCTCTCGCCAGACACTCATTTTAAATGTTGAGGTTTTGTTTGGAACACATTCTCCTGTTATCTTTGTCACATTTAGAATAATTGCATTGAATTCCATTATATTAGTCATTAGGGAATTGTGAATGCAAAATTTAAGCCTCTTCAACCCAGAATGCAGGGAGTGTAGCTTGTTACTGTTAACTGAATGTTGGCAGGGTATTAGGTACTGCACAGAGTTTGTTTTCCTTGGTTGGAGAGGTTTCGTACCTCATTGGAACTATACAAGATCTGATGTGAAGGAGGCAAAATGGCAAGGAGTAGGATGAGAAGTGGGAGAGGTGGAGTCACTCCTTAGCTAGAGAAGGGGAGAATGTTTACAAGGCTTTCAGCCTTTGCGTGGAAGCCTGTATTTCTGTGGACATTTCTCACAGCACTAGTCCTGCCTGAAATGGTTCTGGCCCTCCCTGTGTGCTTCTGCTTGAGCTGTGCTGCAGGAGAGGGAGTGAGCAGTGGACAAAATGCCATGAATGGGTACCAACACCAAAGATTTTCACATATAAAAATCACAACCTAAGAAATGGACTAGCAGCTGGGAAGTTTGCAAGCTGTTTTCAGATGCTTGTCTACAATGGATGGATTAATTTACAGTTCTGTCAGGTGGGGAAGGTGTCAAAGTGCTGGTAAATATCCAGCTGTTCATCTGAGATAGGTTTGTTGTTAGGGTACAAGACTGACATCCTGTCCTGGGTATGGGAGAAATTTTTGTTCTCCTCAAGGGAGCAGGCTTTTTAGGCAGAGGGTGTTGATGGATGTCCTGGGGTACTTGAAGCTTTATTATCAGTTCGGAATCAGAATCTAATTTAGATGCAAACCCAAACATGACTTTTCTCTCAGATTATTTTCACTAATTTACTTGCTTTTATTACTGTGTTGCAGGGTAATTTTTTTCAGAACATCGGTTCCATCACTCTGTTTTCTGTGTTTGGCACTGCGATATCAGCTTTCATTGTAGGTGGAGGAATTTATTTCCTGGGCCAGGTAAGATTTAACTGCTTCGAAGCACTTAAGTTTATCTGGTTTGCTCTTTGAAAGTCCATTTTTCAAGAGCAGACAAACATAGTGAAAGTGAATTCCTAGGATACAAAGTCCAGTTCTCTGCAGTTGTAGATGCAATATTATATACACCCTTCCATAGGTATAGCGTGATCCATGTTGAAAGCAATTAAGACATGCATTGTGTTTTATTTACTTAGTCTTCCTCTTGGAAAGTGTCCAAAACCTGTATTCCCTAGAGCCAGCCTCTAATCTCCAGTATTAGACTTACTTGTTCTTCTGTCAGTAATTTTTGATTTGCTTCTCTGCCTTGGTGTTTCCCCATTTATTATAGATAATTATATTTTCTCTCAGGCTTCTTTCTGGTAGGCCAAAAAATTGATACTTTCTTCTTTGCCTCTCAAATTTCCATTCCTTTGATTGCCTTAGTTACTCTGCTCATCTCTTTCTGTTCCAGTCCCAGCTGGTCTTCCCTGATTTTGGGTGACCAAAATAGTAGTAGATCGCTGTTAGACTGGGTAATGTCACTAGTGTGATCTTTTTCATTATAACAAACGTAGGATTTGATGAACAGTTTCATTTTTAAAAGCAGCAGAAAAACACAGTTGATTGTGATTTTTCTTTTTCTTTTTCTTTTATGTTTTGCCTATTCTTTCAGGCTGATGTAATTTATAAACTGAACATGACAGACAGGTAAGCTCTTGCAGAATGGTGTAGTGTGTGAAATGAAGCAGTCTTTAAGATAACTGTATATGGGAAATGCACTGTAGTTGGCCAGCTGTTCTGGTTAATGCTTAGATTCAACATGTGTGAAACTTATAAAGAGACTGAACACTTCTAAACCCTATTTATTTATTCTCTAATAAATTTATTTAAATTATACAAAATATAAATAAGTATTATAAATATAAATATATGAAAATAAATATATTTAGTAAACCCTAATATATTTATTATCTATTTATTACGATCTTATTTCCAAATAGTATTCTGTGCTCAGTGATCTTTTTACACAGTTTTTTTAAACAACCTTTAAAGTTAAAACGTATAACTTTGGTTAGTCACTATTATTAATATATATGATAAGGGCATAACTTCCTTGTCCTTGTCCAAATCTTCTCTTAAAAGATAGAATGACTTTTTCATTATCAATAATACAGATTTTTCAAGAACTTGACAAAGGTTCTAAACAGTTTCTTAGGAGTACATCACTCTACCTAGGAATAAAGTTTGTTCCTATCTTTTTGGAATCTGTGTTTATTTATTGTATAGCCAATACAGGAGTTTTCTGTTAAAATCTATAAATACCTTGGGTAGGAAGAAAGAAACATAACAAGTAATACATGCACAAACAGCAAAAGTCTTCCTTACTTGGTTCCAAGTGTTTGACTTTTACACAGCTGAGCAGGCCCATTGGCTCTGTACTGTCTATCTTTGGATTCCAAAGTAATGAAGTTTTAGCAGTTCCCTTTAAATATTCCTTTCTAATACTCCTGAACACATAACACTATGCATGTGTGATACATGGTTTGGGCTGTGTCTGTAAAGTTGTTTGGTTTCCCATTCTTCTACTCTTTTCGTACTTAGTTGGAGTAAGATACTGATACTGTTGTTGAGAGCTGGGAGTTAGGTATTTCTCCAGCATCTCTTCCAGCTGGACAGCAACTTTTCTCTTTTGTTTATTAGTAAATGAAAACCAAAAACGTCCTTTTTCTCCCTTCAAATTCTTATGAATAGGAAGAGAGCATAATTTTTCACTGCATAGAAACTATGACACATAATGCCTTTGTTATTAGTTGCTCATAAAAGTTTACTAGGTACACACTTCTCTTTCATCTAGTTTCCTTTTTTGTTTTGTGTTCCAGTTTTGCCTTTGGCTCTTTAATATCTGCAGTTGACCCTGTGGCTACAATTGCCATTTTCAATGCCCTCAATGTGGATCCTGTACTCAACATGTTGGTTTTTGGAGAAAGCATTCTCAATGATGCAGTCTCTATTGTCTTGACCAAGTAAGTGCATTTGAATTAGATGTGTTTATGGGAACCACAACTGCATTGTTTTCTGTTAATTAGTTATTCAGACATAAAGTAGTTCTTCTATCTCTGTGTGGGACATATCATTTATTTCTGGTGTAAAGCTGAATTTTGTATGATCCTTTGTTAAAATCAATCTATAACATAAACTGCATAGGCAGAAGGAAGTAAATGGATGTCTTATTACCACTACCTCAAGCACCTCGCTGACCCCAGATAACTGATTGCTTTCTCAGTCTGTATGTTCACCAGCTCTGTTTCCATCTGAGGGTCCTGACAACAGAAGACAAACGTGTCCTTTCAGGCTTGCACAAAAATATGTATCTTGCCGAATACTCAACTGTGTCTCCTATATTATTGGCTTATATCCAGTCACACATAAGCTGGGAGGAGTACATCAAGATCCATGCAATAGTTTCATATTTATGTTGGGGATATCACAGGGAAGAACAGCATTCCATATCCTTCTCCTTTGCCCATGATAATTATTTTGAGCTGAGTTAAATAAGTTTTATCTTCACGTTATTGCTGAAGTTAATGAATGTGACTGTGAATGTACAGAAGGAGTAGCTAGACTAAGGAAGTTAGTGTAATTTTTCAGTTAACTAATTGCTTTTGATACAGTCATGGTTCTTTTATGGAAGACCATGAAGGCTGACAGCAATTAAAAGGAACACTAGTTGGAATCCATGTTGTCTTTGCATGGAATTTTTATGAAATTCAGAGAGATCTCTTCACTTTCCTCCTTTGAGCTTCTTTGCTTTTCTTCAGTGACCTTCTTGTCTCTCATCCACGCCTAAATATTTGATGAGAAGTCTTCCTGTTCATTTGTTCTTCTCTCAGGATCACATGATGGGTCTTTTCTTTTTCATGCCCTGAGTTTTTACCGCTGCAGAGCGCGTTTTCCTTTTCAGAGTTTGAAAACTGTTTTGTAATACTGCCCATTATCATAGCCTATTTATGCCATTCTGGGGATTCTTCAGAAGAGCAATGCTGGGTTTCCAGATTTTTAGCAGAATTAGGTTTCCCTTTGGGGATTACACCGAGACTTGATTTAACATCTTTTGACATTCCTCTTGTTATATATATCACAGTAAAAGCCTTTTAAGAGTGGTAGCAACAAAGAAATGGAAGCCTTTGTTGTTGCTCTCAAAGGATGTTTGGTATTTTTGGATCTAGGCTTAGAACTCATAACTGTTTCTTTTTATTTATTTTTTAATTATCTCTAGCACAGCAGAAGGTTTGACAAGAGAAAATATGTCAGATGTAAGTGGATGGCAAACCTTTCTACAGGCACTGGGGTACTTTCTTAAGATGTTCTTTGGCTCTGCAGCGCTTGGTACACTTACTGGTCTTATTTCTGCATTAATATCCTTTTTTAAGTATTGGTGATACATGTGTGAATTGGTGAACTTCAAAATTCTAATAGTGTCTTTCTTTCCCATCTTCTCCAGCATTTTTTAATGGATATTTCCTGTTAGCCATTATTTTGTTGGCCAAGGGTGTTCTCGTGTTTATTTTGTTTGTGTGCAAGGGTGTGCATTAAGAGTTGCATTAAATTTTTATGAACATAATTAAGGTCTGAAATGCTGTGTAGTTGCCTATATTAGTGTGTTATAAAATATGGTAATTGGTTCGTAAATTCAAAATACATTAATTCCATTTCAGTTCTGATCCCTTTTTACAAACATATGGCTCCTTTTTTACATACATAAACTAGTTCATTTAAAAGGAAAAAAAGAGCTGTTTTTCCCGAGGGCTTTTGAGTCAGACCAGCTCATTTGTTCCTATGCATCATATTCAGCAGCTGAATACAGATACTGTTCTATCTGGATTTACACCGAGTTATATTTTGCCTCTTCCACTTCCATGAAGTGGTTGCTAAACAACCCAGAAGCTTCTCTGCCGAGATAAGGAAGGATGTTTCTTTGTAAGTCAGACACCTTTGTCACTTTTCAGAGCTTGTTTAATGTTAACACTGACTTTACTGCAGGTAATCTTTTGTGTCAGGCTTGTACAACAATTATTCATGTCATGTTGTTAAGCACTTTATTTGTAAATAACAATAATAGAGCACTTGATTAACTGCAGACATATTTCCTGTCTTGGTTCATTAGCCTGATTCCATGAACTTTTAAGTCATTCTATACATCACCACAAAAGAGGGAAACAGATGTTCAACACTTCTTTTACTGATATCTAAATGCGAGACAAATAGAAAAACAGCTTATTTGCCCTATTACAATTACTTTGCTTCAAAGTATTGGATTTACCCTGAGCATGCAAAATTTCAGTGCAGCAAAGGATGTATCTTATTAGTTGCCAGCAGATAAATACAGTGGAAGGTTGTTGCTGGTTCATGGCCCAAGGGAATGTGGACTTCCATGTGACAGGCATCTAAGCCTCTGAATTTTAACAAAGATGGTAGGTGGAGTATTTTAAAGTGCTAAGGCCAGGGTGTGATTGAAGGAATATTCCTCAGTGTTAATATTACTGCAAAGCTGTCGTATCCATTTGAAAGTAAATGGAAGTCTAGTGACTGAGCAGAAGAGACTGCTTGCTTTCCTACTGTGGCAAATAACAATGTCTGAGGCAAAATCTACTTGTACTTGGCAGCTGTGCTGCAGGACTGTGCATGAGATGCAAAGCAGCACTTGCAGCCCTTGACAAACATCTGCATTTCTTGCTACAAACGTAAAGTAAGTTTTAAATATCCTGAGCGTCAAAAGGATGTTATTTTTATTAAAACATGAGAGCTATTTTACATTTAATTTGCTCTTTCATAGCTATCCCCTGTTTTTAGAAAAGCCTTTACTATTTAATAATTCTTTATGGATTTTCTGCAGTAGTTTTGGAGCAGACTTCAAAGACTGAACGTGTGAGGAAAGGGCTCTTTTAGATCCATACAGTTGGCATATTGTTATCGGTATTGTAGAGGTACATCAGTAGCAGATCTTTGCTGTCTATAGTCTGTCCATTCTGATAGACTTCTACCAGCAGCAGCTTCTATAAGAAACACTCCTCATTATTTAGTAACCTTTCCATTAATAAAGAATTATTAATCTTTCCATACTTGAGGCAAACGCCAGTGTGTACACTTTATTAGCTATTCAATAGATAAGTACATTCCACATAATCATTATTTTGTCATGGAATGACACAGATTTCAATTTTTCTTTGAATTTTTCCTATGTACATTTTCCATAACATTTACATGTATACGTACTAAAGCACATTGATTTAAGGAAGACACCCTCCCTAGAGTTTGGGATGATGATTATCTTCGCTTACCTTCCTTATGGGCTTGCAGAAGGTATCTCACTCTCAGGTGAGTGGCAAAATGAGTATGTGCAGGTTTATTGGGTAAATTTAGGGAGTAGGTATTACTTGTGTCAAAGAGGGCATTAAAAGATGTGTTTGCTCTACAGCTTGGACTATATAAGAATGTTACAAGTTTGTGAGGATAAGTAGCAGGACTAGATTTCTTGTAAATGAGCTACAGGTATGAAATCGGGCTTTCTCAAAATGTACATGTGAACTAATGTGAGTATTTTAGAATGGATCTGTAGCAGTGTGTGTCAGCATGCTCTCACTGATGTCAGCGGAGTCAGGGGTTTTTATATGTATGAAGATGTGGCTTATAAATCATGGTAGTTACACAATCAAGATGTATAATCCTAATGCAAACATTCCATTCTGCCCACTATACACTCTGAATGTGTCTATAGGCCAACACATATGTAGGGGAATGAAATTATAGGAAACCTAAACAAGTAGTTTGATATGTTAAAATATTTGCACTGCTGTAAAAACAAGTTTTGCCTTGTGGGAAGGTCTCAGCCCATGGCCTTTTCCATTTCTCTTTTATACTGCCTATTAATATAAAATTATGATAAATATTACAGACTTGCAGGGCCATTGCATTATATAACCAACACATCTGCATGGTGGTATACAGTGAAAAAGAACTTACAGTAAGACTCCTAGGTAGCTACTCTCAGGATGACAAAGGTTCTGTGTCATTTTATTTATAAAGACAACCAACCTCCCTCATTTCTCAAGTGCCTTCAAGAATGGCTTCTCAAGAAATCTAAACTTTGAATGACCTTAGGCAGGTCACCTCTGTGTTTCAGACAAAGGATTCTTTTGACTGTACCTCAGCTATTTTAATCCTTCCAGTTGTGTTTATTTGTGCCACTCCTGGGCACACAGGTCCAGCCAAACACTTCTAGTCTATTAAACTTCCCTTGTTTTGGGCAAAGCAGGCATCTCACGTGTCATCCTGTCCTCCCGAGAGCTGCACTGCAGTTGATTTCTTCTGGGTTATATTGTCAATTTTGGTTTGTTATTTCCTCACAAGGAATACTGTAGTTGTTCTTCAAGTGGGCTGCTACATCCTAACCTTTGCAGGTGTAAGTCTATGCAGCAAGCAAGCACAGAAATGTTTAAAACTTCCTTTTAAGATACCCAGCTCCCTGTGAACAGTGAATAATGGACAGTGTCTGTGGCACATCTTGAGCAGTTAGCAAAATAGGTTGATATTCATATTTTTCCTATAAATAACCAAGAACAGGGAAGCAAGGGGGATAGAAAAAGTCCCTAACATCAATCAAAGATTTGTCAAATACAGTGAAATCTGAGGTAGTTGTTCTGGCCTGTGATACCAGTTACTGTACCTCTGCCCAAGCTGTGCATGCCATTAGGGCAACTGAACTCTAGAGTGGAAAATTTGGTGGCTTTCTCCATTGTTGATAGCTGAGACTAATCCCTGTAGTAACATAAGCAGATGGTTTGGTGACCCTTTCTGCTGGAGGCAAAGGACATTCTATAGCAGGTAGAATTCCTTGCAGGCCCTACATAACACACTCTACCTTCCTTATGGTTGGACTCCAATCTTAAAGGTCTTTTCCAATGTAAATGATTCTTTGATTCCTGCGGAGGTGATTTTTGCCCTGAATTCTCAAGTCTCAATAGCTTTTCTGATTCTCAGATAGATAGAAAATTGAGGGTACACCTGTGTGTGTTATTTGTTCCTAATATTCTATGGCATTAGATGTGGTGCACCATACTGGATTGTATTCACATGGTCTCATTCTGCTTCTGGTGGAGTGATTGGGGCTGGCTGATGAGCAGGTAGGAAAGAGGGACACGCTTTCTGGCAGAACTAAATTATACAGTTCTCTAGCCCCCCTATTCTCAGATTGGTTTTATTCTTCTTTTGATGTCACTCTATCTGTTAGGAGAGTGAAAAACCCTCAAGAATTGGCTTTTTAGTTCCTCAATTTTATGGGAAAATGTGACATAATGGGGATTTATCCTAGCTTGCAGGTGACCTATATTTGACCTCCTAGTATTTAATATAATCAGTGGAATGAGACCAGTAATGAATAACAACAGTAATAGAAACCCCACTTATTGCTTCATAAGCTTTTGTGTTAGTAAGAACTAAACCCACAAATATTTGCAGAGTACAAGCTATTCTTCTGTTAACTGCCACATTTTTACCTGCAGGTATCATGGCAATCCTCTTCTCTGGCATCGTGATGTCTCACTATACACACCATAACTTGTCCCCGGTTACACAGATTTTAATGCAGCAGACACTGAGAACTGTTGCTTTCATGTGTGGTAAGTGCTACCTGCTATTAATACCTAATATTAACAGTATAAAAAATTATTTGCCTGAAATGGTGATCCTGATGGGAGCAGCAGAGGTGTGAATTTTCTTTTAGCCATTTGTGTGTCAGTGATACATGTCTTTAAGAGAAGAATTCCTAGTGGGGGCTGGAAGGCAGTCAGAAGTCACCTTTCCTGCCATACAGGATAAAACATACAATAAATCTCTCTCTCCCAGCCTGCAGGCTCCTGCTAAGATTTGCCACAAGATTGACAACCAGATAGAGATCTCTGACTCCTATATTCCTTTGGTCTATTTTTAGCTTTAAAAGATGGATTTTTAGCAGTATTTTTAACATTATTTTAATAATAGCTTCAAACTGAGAAGTTTTTGTAAGTAGAGATACAAGCAGCAAAAAGTCCAGAGCCTTTCCATTTCCTTTTGCAAACCAAAGTTTCAAAGAAATCACATGCTTATTACAAATATATCTTGTTTCTTTAGGGGATTTCATCCATGTGTTCCATATTGTTCGTAGGAAAATGCATTTGGAACATAGTCAGGGGGTGACCTTAATGCAAACTGAACTTAACCACTTGTTACCTGAGCACAGTAGCTCACCAGGGTTTGATCTTACTTGATTACAAATGCTAAAAAGCACATATTAATTGAAGTCTCTATAAAGGAGTTATTTAAGGTACCGTTTTGAACATGCAGACATAAGTAGCCAGTACACAGAGTCTCACCAAACAGTGTCTTACGCTGCTATGGTCTGTCCAAAACCATCCTGTTTTTAACTGCCATTATGATAAGGAGCCTACCTTGCTGGGGCTGAAGTGAACTGATGAAACATCTTGACTCTGTGATACTCTGATGGTAATGGGTTGATGCTGTGGAAATAAAATGTTTGGATTACTTAGTCATTGTGCAGTGGTGGTACTATTTCAGATCTGCAGTATCACTTCCGGAGGTTGTTAGAATATATGAGGGTTGTTAGATCAGTGCAGTATTTTATTGCAAAGAAAGTCATGAACTGCTGCCACTTAAAAAAGTTTAATGAATTGAATATTTTATCAACTTGTTCAACTTGCAGGATACGAGATTGTGCCTGACAATCAGTTTTATATAGAATCCAACTCAAAGCTACAGAAGTCCATAATAGTCCCTCATGTGACTTTTGTTCTGCAGATTCCTCAAGTTAAAAATTCCCCAGTCTTTAGAACAAGGTTTTGTAACCTTTGTTCATACTTACTACAAATTTACAGTAAGAAAATTACAAACCTACACACACTGAAGTGCTGTCCGCTGACAGCAAGTGGAAGAGTCAGACCTTTTGCATAATGCCATTTGTGCCTACTTTGTGCATTCAGAAGTCAGGAAATACTATTTTATGCACTGCATGTAATAACTGATAATAGGAGTAGGAAAGATTTTATGTAATTGTTTATTTAAGATGTGATTTCTCTTTTTCAGAAACATGTGTTTTTGCATTTCTTGGCCTGTCAATTTTTAGTTTTCCTCACAAGTTTGAGATGTCCTTTGTCATCTGGTGCATAGTAGGTATTTACTTTCATCCATCTTTTTTCAGATGCATTTTTAGTATTGGGGTGGGGGGAAGCAACTTACAGTTAATATGTTTTAGAATAGTTATGTTTTATATGGGCTTATGAAAATACTTTTTATATATTGAACAACATTAAATGATTATTCTTCACTCTGCGTTCACCTTCTTCAGAGGAAGTCCTTAACTCAAACCTTCTCTAATGTGTCTTCATTCTTTGACTCCATTCTTAATTCATTTTGCTTCATTCCGTATTTCAGTGTAACTTTATGTGCTGGCACTTTGAAATATGTTTCACATGAGGATTACCTACATCTATTGCTACTGCAATTGTGTAATATAAAGACATGAAACGAACATTTTCTTTTGCACAGTCAAAAGAGGGAAATGTGAATCCACTTTCAGTCACATACAACAATGTATCCTAGTGCATTTTAGTCTATGGTTTATGGCAAGAATTGCTACCTACAATTCCCAGGTGGTGATACCAGCATGGGGAGCTACTCTTGCTGCATTGCACCCAACTTCTTTATCTAATATATATATCTAAGGTGTGACACTTCCTTCTATGTAGCATTGCCCTCATAGGCATAATATAAATTGTGTAATTTTGGGGTGATTCATAAAGGAAAACAGCACAGCCCTTCAAGGATCCTGCTGACTAATTCTAGGATATTTACCTTATCAAAGTCTGTTTGTGGTGGAGCTTAAAAGCTTGTTTGTGAAAACCTTTGCTTTTCCGAGTTAAAAGTTTTCACTGTATTTGTTAATTGTCTGCCATTAAATCAATAGTACATCTTTTTCCCCTCTCAAAACATCATTTCAATGTGTGGTATATTTTGTAACCATACCCAGGAAAGCATTGAGGAACTCCATTACATGCTATTTGTTTGGCTTCTGGCCTTTTCTTCTGAGGAACTGGTCCATGGGGAGACAATAGAAATATCTTATTGCATCTTAGTGTTGCACCAAGGGGACAATTAAAGGAGCTGAACTGACTGAACTGAGGAAGACTTTCACCCAAAGTAATTCTTGGTCCCCCTGGAATGCCTCTTGGGTTTCATTTATTTATTATAAGTAAAGTAGTGTCTACTCTCTGTCAGTGACAAGTCTGGTTTAGTTTCTGTTAAGCAGACAAAACGTTTAAAAACTTAAATTCCACATTGACCTATGCTGAGAGATTTCTTCATGTTAACTTAGCAGCACTTCTACTTGCAAGACTTGTGATGAAAAGAGCACATGCATCTGGGTTGCACAGAGTAAGGTGAAACTTGGACCTGCATGAATGTAATGCATCAAATGGTCTTTTGCTTTTATTTCTGTTTTTCAGGTCCTTGTTCTGTTTGGTAGAGCAGTGAACATTTTCCCACTTTCCTACCTACTCAACTTTTTCCGTGATCACAAGATCACCCCCAAAATGATGTTTATCATGTGGTTTAGCGGTAAGTTAGAGCTCAAATTATGGAGAAATGGAAAAAATGTGTCTTTTTCGTTGCATGGGCAACTCTGAGAGGAACCAGTTTACTGCCTGTGGAGCACAACTCAGCTGAACATTTGCACTGTTCTCAAACCCAAGTGCAATAGATATGTTCTTTCCCCCCTTTGTGACAGATTGCTATGGGTGATCCCCACTAAAGCTTTTCTGTAAACAGTCTACTATTCTTTCTAGGTCTAGCAATTTCACAGTTTAAACAGCAGTATTTGAAGAGCTTAGACTCATTTTAGGGTGGTAACCAAATAGTAGATGAGTGGGCATAGTAGGACTGTAAAAGTCTTTTAAAGATAGAGAATTCCTGTTGGGCTATCATGGTGCTGAGGACCATTGTACCTGTTGATTCATGCTTCATTGATTTGCTGTTCTCTGATAAGGTTTACGTGGAGCAATTCCCTATGCCCTCAGCCTCCATTTGGGCTTGGAACCAATAGAGAAGCGGCAGCTCATTGGGACAACAACAATCATCATAGTATTGTTCACCATTCTGCTGCTGGGAGGAGGGACCATGCCCCTCATCAGACTGATTGACATCGAGGATTCCAAAGCACGCAAGAGGAACAAGAAGGACATCAACCTTAGCAAGACGGAGAAGATGGTTTGTTGGGTTTTTTATTCAGAGGATCACTGATTTTTATTTTTTACTAAAAAGTAAAACAAAAGCAGTGGAAAAGCCAAGGCGGTAGGACAAAGCCAAGCAGTGTAATTCTGACATATCCCAAAGACAGAGCTTGGGTACTGTTTACATTGTTTGGACAAAGGGAAGGGAGAGTGTCTCTTAACTCAGTCTAATTATAACTCTATCCACACAAATTAAAGTAACCCCTGCAAAAGTGTAAAGCAGATGATAGAGGATTGAGTCATATACAGAGGGAAAGTAGCTAGTACAACGTGAGTCATGAATTAATCATAAAAGGCAGATGGAAATTGGAAGAAGCCAAAGCAAAGGCCATGAGAAGGTGGTATCAACAGCACCCCTCTGACTGCCTTTTATGCTAAAGCAATTTCCAGCTAAGCAAGAGTACTGAAGAAAACTAACAGCCAGTGTGAAACCTCACGTGCAAAAGACTGAAATACGTGAAGTATCCCAGAGCATTTTCCTGGTTTTCCGCAAACCATCAAACTACACATAGGGGATTGTTCTGTAGGATCTGAAAAACAGCTCCTCCTGGCATGAGGTTTCAAAATGCTTGCAGTCTTCAGAACTATCTTACTCTGTCCACGCAGGGAGGTATGTATAGGAAGGGCACAGGGATAGGGTGTGTTCTGACACAGGGTTTGTTTTCAGTAAAACAATGACATTAGTGTGGCTTGCTGGATAAAATCATTGTTCAGCTCACAAGAGAAAACCTGCACTCTAGAAATCTGTTCTCAGCAGTAGCAGCAATACAGAATGTGGAACATTTGAGACCTTTTACCTTTCAGCGTGAAAAGAGAAGCTAAGTGGCTTTGGGAGTCAACAACTGGACAGATTTGTATAGCTATAATCCCTGGTAGGCTGGGGTGATAATTTCCATCTTGTTCCAGCACAGGAAACAGTTGTGAGAAGGGAGAGCACAGAGCAGAGGGCTGAGCAAGCCAAAGGGATGACTGCAGCATTTCTCATGTTACTGCAACATTTGTGATCTTTCCAGGGAAACACCATAGAATCTGAACATTTATCAGAGCTCACGGAGGAGGAGTATGAAGCCCAGTACATAAAACGCCAGGACCTCAAAGGGTTTATGTGGCTTGATGCCAAGTATTTGAACCCTTTCTTTACCAGAAGACTCACACAAGAGGTAAGTTTTTCCTGTTTTCTAGGAGAAAAGAGCCCATGGTAGAGTTGGTTGTCATTTCACTCTGTACCATTCAAAGCTCATAGTGTAGCTGTGCAACTTGCACATTAGGTGGGAAGAGGGAGCCACCTAATATATTACTTGTGTGTATGTAGAGCAGCTGTAATGAAAAGCTGCACTGCAAATTTGCAGGTTGGATTAAATGAGCATCTCTCAGGGCTACCACAGTTAAACTTTAAAATGTGTACGGATTTATTGCCTCTAATCTTGCAGAGTGCCATGAACAGTATCAGGAGTTACTAGTTATTACTGCTGCTAGAAAAGCTGCTGCCACTCACACAGAGCTTTTCAAGTGCTGTCATGCAAAGTTGCTGCCTTTTACTGTACATGGTCCTGTGCATTCTGGACCTGGGATTTGTCTGCAGAGTGCAGTTTATATCTGGGAAATACACACCAGCATTGCAACCTTCACCTTTAAGACTTCTTCACTGGGAGACTAAGACTTTGAAGCTGTAAATGTAAAATGACACCTGACTGAACATGTAACTTAACACTAGAGTGGCTCTGAGAGGTGTAAATACTCTGCCATTTTCACTCCCATGCCTCAGAAACCTGAGGCTCCTTAGCCACACTGGTTTGGGGTGGTTTTTTTTCCCCACAGTTTTTCCAGTTTGCCATAGAATTAAGCATTTTTGCTGTGGAGTTGATAAACTTGCGTGAAGTGTGCACATTCCATCGTCCTAGACTTCCCATACTATTTTTCTCTTGTTTTGTACCTTTCTTTTTAAATGAATGTTTTCAGCACTTTCCCACAAAAGCTAAAGGCATTTTTTGCAAAACCAAAAGGGACTCATGAAACCAGAGTAAGCATCTGATTCATAGTTGGTAGCCAGAAGCATAGGCTGCCATCCAAATTGCAACCAAAGGCTAGAAACATAAGTACATGAATCACCAGAGCAGGTCACAAGCAACCCAATGGCCCTGGGAACATGCAGAGAGAAGCAAGATTCAGAGCCAGGCCATGCAGACAGCATCAGGGTTGTTGAAACCCACAGAGCAGGACTGTGTAGAAAACACAGGTATAAAAATACCCGTCATCAAAAATAGCATCTGTGGCAATAATTACTGCCTGAACACTTGATGAGTATTTTCAAGTCGGAAACAGAATTGCTTTGCATGCTTAGAGACCAGGAGTGGATTAATTCCTAAGGAGACTAGCCTTTCTCTTTTGCTCTAACACACAAGTAGCATTGTAGCTAAGTAACAAACTGTTCTGGTTTGCATTTGCCTCAGGACTTGCATCATGGGCGCATACAGATGAAAACCCTCACAAACAAGTGGTATGAAGAGGTACGACAAGGACCCTCAGGATCTGAAGATGATGAGCAAGAGCTGCTATAGGACACCAGGCAGGAGTGCAGTGAGTCTAGATCATTAGAAAGAGGGTTTAAGGATCAAGAGTCTGGCTGCACAAAAGCTGAGAATGAACTTCCTGATTTCAGACACATCTTGTGCTACATGTTTAGATACAAAACCACAGATCTACTGGGCTTGATATTACTTGTCAGTGATGGAAACCGTAAGTGTGAGACACTGGAGTGAATGAAGAACCTTTCATTCAGGTTTTACACCATAGCAAATTTAATGCAGCCTATTGAAAAGCAAAAACATCTGCCATGAAAAGATCACATTGTTTAATGGGGGGATTGTCTTCCTATTATGAAATCTGTTGTAAACATATGCTGAAGTACAGAGCCACATATGACTCTGCAAAACAGAATGAATTGCACTTTACTTTTTTTATATATATATATATATTCATTCACAGCATGGAGAATCTTGACAGTTTATACTGTGAATGTTTCAGCACTAGTAAGGGAATCTGACTGGAATAGTTCTGTAATTTATGGGATTTGCACATTATGGATCTGGAGAAGATGTGTACCTTGACAAAAAGCATATGTTGCACATACAAGAAAGCACCTCTGGGAACTGGTGGTTTTGTCCTTTAAGTTCTTGATTTCTATTTTATGGGATTTCTTTCTTTTTTTATACTGACATATCAAACCCACAGAACTGATTATAGCACGGTTTGGGGAGTGGGGGTTGTGTCACATAGTACAGAACCACATTAGACATTGGAGGTTTAATGTCTTCTCTTTGGCTAAAGCCAGTTGCAGTTGGGTTTCTGTAATTGGCAGTTGCTCTTTGCTGGCACTTTGGCTTCAAATCTCAGAAAACAGCAGCTTTTGTTTTGCCTGATTCATGAAGTATCCCTAACACTTCAGAATCCGCTAGTGGAATGTTTAAGTTCTGGTGGAAGCCAAAGCAGTGTGTACACACACACACCTGCAAAATCTAACCCAGGTACAAAGATACTGCACATTGCCGAAGCAGCCTCAGTTGGGAAGTGCCAAACAGCTTTCATTAAGTTGTTGTTTGTTAATAGGGTTTTTCTCTGCTTACACTGTTTCAAAGCCAGCAGTATCATTTCACTTCTACATGGCCTAGTCCATTTGCTCAGAGTTGCGTGCACCTACACAGACCCACAGTGTTGGCTGCACGTTTGCCACGGTTACATACAGCAGTTTGCTCTTACTGCCAACCCACACCCCTCATTGGGCATTTACATATTCACTGTCAAAATGTGAATCATAGTTCTGCATGTAAATCTGACATGCCAAGTGCACATATTTGCTTCTGAGAGTGAGATGTATTTTTGGTCTGGTTTTGCTACCAAGGTTTGTAATCAACAGCTTACCACTGGCAGAAATAAAAGTTCAAGAATGTATTTAGAATCCTAAACCTGTGTTGTCTGAGCTGCTTTCACAGTAACACATCTTGCTAGAGGACTCCCTTCTTCCCTTTCCCCATCCCATTTGTTTGAAGACCTTAATCCCAGAGCTGAAACATGCACTGGTGGGAACAGGGCATGAACTTGGCTTCTGGTGCTGCCCAGAAAGCAGTTAATGCTTGCTTTATCCTTAGGAGAGGGTCTATGTAAATCTCAGACTTTTTCTTCACCCTTCATGGCAACAGTAGCTTAATTACGTTCCAGTTTCCCGTCAGCCTCCCTGGGTTTCTCAATACGAGCACACCAGGCCAGGAGCTGCTGGAAGGGCTCTGGGAGCTTCCATTGTCACTGGAAGGTTCACACTTATCTAGGTGCTGTTGCAAGGGGCTTTGTGTTATCCCTCAGTCATGAGGAAATGTAAATTAGCCTCCAATTTCTGTTGTTATTCCGGTGAAATGGGTCACCTGAGGACTAGGTGGAGGCACGTCTCAACGGATCAGCCCTTTGGGAGCTCCATCGGGGCATCTTGAGCGTTCCCTGCCCTCTGCTGGCAGTTGGTGATGGTGCTCCGGCACCTAATGAGCCATGTACGGGGGATGGTGCTACCCGTGAAACTGCAGCAATTAACTGATAGGGCTGGAGCTAATGAAATCCCTCTGCAGCAATTACAGTGAAGAAAATCTGGATGGTTTAATTTAAAACCAGCTATCCTAACACTTAATGAAATATTACATTTGTCAAAACTTGGAATTAACACAGCTTTGCTCGCTCTCAAAATAGGCTCCAACCCTCCTTATTTGGGAACCAAAACAAGTTTTTACCATAGTGACCAATTTTCATATTCATTTATCTATACATTGACTTCTCTGTGTTAGCCATTTCAGGTTGGATTTCTTTGCTTCACTCAATATGCTCAGAAAACAAAAACTCTCCGTATTGCCTTGCAGTTACTTCTGCAGAGTTTCCTATTTTACCAGGCCAGTATTAAACTCTAATCCTCTTCCCACAAATCCCAGCAGCCCCATTCGAACTTGGTGCCATCTACAGATCTGTGCAAGAGTAAACCTGATTTTATTATGCTCCCTTAAAAGCAGAGGCACCAGGAAGTACAATGGATAGTACTATTTGCAGAGCCCTGATGTTCTGTCAGACAGCAAACCCAGTGGCTGTTCCTCCTGATGACCAAGGCCCCATGCAAAGGAGAAGGAGGGGGAATCCTAAGACTCCAAGAATTTATTTGCCCATGCCTTGGGCCCATCCCATTCCCCAGACCAGCAGGGGCTTTCACCAGGTTTCACTCCACAGCTCAAGGACAGCAAACCCCCTGCTGCATCATCACTGCCAGCTCACAGGCACGATCTGTGCCTCAGTTTCCCCACTAGCCGAGATGCCGTCTGCAAAGCCAGTGAGCAGCCCTGTGAGCTGCAAGGTCTTGGAGCTGCTAAAGCTATGGTCAGACTGGCCAGGCTGAGGGCAAGCCCTGTGCCAGGCAGGGCTGGGATGATGCTCTGAGCATGGTCCAGGCTTGCTCCAGCACAAGCCACCCCTGCGGGCGAGAGCTCCCAGGTCTCATCCACAAGAGACAACAGAGAACGTGATGTGAGTCCAGCATGCCTCCTGCAGACGCATCACTGCTCGCGTGTGCTCCAGAGTGACACATCTGGGGGCACCCCGTATCCCGATACAGCTGTGACAGCCACAGATGGAACAATCCTTAACACAGCTCTGGGTTACATTCAACCTGCGCCACCTCAGAGCCCCACCTCTGCCCTGGCCCCAGCCTACTCGTGACTCACCAGCCGAACACAAACACCTCCAGCTCCCCGTGCCTCTGTTCCATCATGATGGAGATGTCATTTTGAACTCAACCACACCAAGTGTCGTTTAGTTTAAACATCAAAGCACCTACAGGCTGTTTGTACAGCCTGGCTTAAAGGCTGCCATAGGAGGACCAAAAGCAATGGACATGACGTGCCATTCAGGAGATGAACCTTTGGAGACCAGGGCTCTGAGCTTTGTGTGTTAAACACCCTTCTTTTCCTGCACTCTGCAGGCCAGGTCACTCACACCAGAGGGGAGGTTTTCACTCATGGGGCTGCATTTAAAGCTCAGTGGCACAGACTATGGCTGAGAGATGCTGTTGGGGAGAATGGGCCACAGGAGATGGCACAGCCAGAGCACAGACACCAGAAGGCAAGGTGCACTGTCAGCTCTGTGCAACCAGTGACTTCAGAGGTACAAAGGGTCTGGATGCAAGGAGTCACTAGCTCAGACTACACTGTTAGTAACTATACACTGGTTATGTATAGATCAATGGGGCATACATGTCTGCACTTGCCTCAGCACCTTCAGCCTCAAGAGACCAATTGAGGTTGGAATAGGATGGCTATGTGAAAATAAACCCATCGCTGGTGAAAGGCACACGTGGCAGCACCAAGTGTGGAACACAGCAACCACAGCACACCTGCCCGGGCACCAAAGCCAAACCAGGGCAGCCCTGCCTTGTTCATTCACCAGGGCCAGGCTCCACCAAGCAGCCACACAGCCCTGCAGCCCCTTCCCACCCACTCAGAGCCGATGATGAGGCTGCAGCAGCACCAGAAACTCAAGGAATCAGCTCTGACACCCAGCAATCACCCCCAAACCCTACCCAGCACAGACCTACCTCAGCCCCAAGGGTGAAGCCACATCCTCCTCACAGCAACAGCCTCACCTCAGTGGAGATGCCCTTGGGGGTGGGCTCTTATCCCCGTGCAATTGGTGAATTGGCAGCACCTGATGGCACCATTCCCAGCTGGAGACACTGATTGCATCAGCACCCATCGTGCCATGGCTCAAGGGCTCCAGCCTGGCAGGCAGGAGGACCTGGGTTACAGCAGCCCCAGGTCATGCTGGGGAGAGCCCCTGGACCTGCTGGAGTTAATGAAAATGATTGGGATTTGCTAAGTGCTTGCCTGGCCTCCCCACCAGCAGGAGCATCTCTATGAATGTAGGTTAAAGCCCACCCAGTGTTCCACTATTCAACGTTGTCTGTTCCATCACCAAACTACAGATGAAGGTCCTGATCTGGGGTTTCCCTGCAGCAATAAAGGATGGGGGAATTTGCAGGCTATTTCTTTTCCTGTCTCCAGGTGATGTCGGGACCTCGGTATGTTTTAGGCAGCAAGGAACAAAGCGGCTGTAACCAAGGCAGGGACCAGGCACTGCATCAGTGGCTGGACCACGCCATGACCCTGAGCCCATCACAGCCCAAAGCCCCAGCCTGACTGGGGTCTTGTCCTTGGCCCCATCCCAGGGTGGCCCTGAGGGGCCCCAGAACTTGGTGGCAGCTTTTTATATCCGTGTCCTCCGGTAGGAAACCAGCCCTTGGTCACCTTTCTGGAGGCTCCTGTCCACCCAGGGCAGCGATGGGCAGCAGCCACAGCCAGGCTTGGCTGAGGAAGGAGTTTGCTGGCCCCCAGTCCCCATAGCCCTGCCCATGGGCCATGCCCTGTCTCTGTGGTCGCTCACCCACAGCAGCAGTGCTCCCATCCCGACCATGCGCAACAGAAGTGAGATCCCCATTTACCCCGGAGCACGGCCGCTAACACGTAAGTGAGCCAAGTCAAACGCCAGTCTTGCACGAGCGAGTTTACTTTAACAATACACAGTATTTGGAATGTGATGACCAGCGAGCAGTGACCCCGAGTGATTCCCTTGTGTGCCAGAGTGCCCTGGAGATGGGGCAGCCCCATGCTGTGGGTGGAAGGGCAGTGACCCAGTGACTTGCACCCTCGCTGGAAACCCCGTCCTCCCTCCTGATTTTAATCCCTTCCTTTGCAAACACGGTCCATGTCGGGGCTGGGTGCGGGTTTTTGCATGACAGGAATAGGGAGCAAAGGCAGGAGCGTTGCTCCCTGCATGGCTTTTCAGGTACTACTTGGCTCTTGGGCATAAACCCTGCCCCGACCGCCTGCAGGTATCACACGTGGGCAAAACCATCCTGGGAAGATGCAGGAGCACCCCAGAGGTACAGAGGACCCTCTCTGGTTACAGGGAAACAGCCAGTTCAGGTGCATCAGAGGAAACGACCAAGGGACAAAAGCAAGAGCATGACTGCTGTGTGCTAATGAGAGCTGTGCAGCAGCAACGGGTAGTGATGGCACACACAGCACACTTACATGCAGCAACCGCCCTCCCCAGCACAGAGCTCACACTGGCTCCATTGCCTCCTACTCTGGAACTGAGCCCAAACATTGAGGCCCAAAACCCTCGGTATTCTTCATGCTTAGGTTTAAGTTTGTAGCTTAAATTAATCTGTTGTTTGTTGCCCCCCACCAAGAGCATCCCCTTCCCTCTGTGTTTCTGCACACCCTGCAGCTATCAGGTCTTCCTTGAGGTGCTGTGAGTCCTTGGAAGAGAGGACCCTGCTGTGTCTGTGCTAAGCAAAGGCAGTGACAGATCCTGGTTCTACAGCAATGGCTGAAACCAGCACTATTGGTGTCTGGAGAGAAGAGGGGGAGCCGGGGGTCAGCGGGCAGGCAGAGCACAGGCAGTGATGGCATTGGGGCAGCGGCTGTTTCCCGTGTCCATGCAGACACAGGTCACTATTCCCACATAGCACATCCATGACTTAATGCTGCAGCCCTGGCAATGGGTTGTGGTGCCATTTCATTCATTAACCAGAGACAACATAAAGCACTCCCACGAGTAACTGGCTGCTGGGTGCTGGTGGGCAGCGTGTTTCCTACCACTGCTGCTGACTCTTCCCATCACCTTGAATGCATTGATTAATATTTGGGACATAACCAGCCTCTTTCAGCACTGTCTCACTCAGTTTGTGCCCTGTCTCCAGGATGATGCTTGGCCACAGATCTGCAATTCCCTGCCTGGAGAGCACGACCTGGGGCTGCTATTACTCACACCAGGATTATTCCAACCCCAAACCTTACTCTAAAGACAAGCTCCCATTTCGATCTATATGGTGGTGGTGGGTTTGTGTTCAAACCGAGGGAGTGGGGTTAGGCAGCCTGCAGAGTGGTCTCTTGAGAGGTATATCAAGATGCTTCATAATCCCAAGTGAGGTAGCTGAGCAGCACCGTCCTGCTCCCGTCTGGGAAAGGACATGGTCAGCGGGAGCTGGCGCTGGAGGTAGGACACCTCTTGGGCCCTCCCTGCCAAGCACAGTTTCTTAAGACAACCAAGTTCCTACTTGGTCATCCGAGCACCAGGATGGAGAAACAAAGGCCAAGGGCCCAGAGAGCAAGGCACGGGATAAACTGGACCCTGGACTTGCCCCCTGGGCCAGTTCCAGGCACTGGGGTTTGGTGTTTTGTTTGGTTTCTCTAAGTGCAGAGCCTCGGCTCAGAGCTGCAAGAGCCAGAGCAGAGGAGGAGGCAAGGGTGGTGTTAGACGTCACTTCATCTGCAGAACATGATGGGGACCCAGTGGATACACAGGTGAGAGCTGGGTTTGGGTTTATCCCCCAGTGCCCCTGTGGGATGCAGCGGGGCACGGCCGGGCTCAGAGAAGGTCTTTCATGATATCCGACGGCAGAGCTTCCCCCACCACGTTCACAGCGCTCAGGCCCGACCTTCTCCTGGTGACAAGCACCATCACCTGCACCGTCCTCTTCAGCCGCGGCGGGCACGCAGCCCCATCGGCCAGCATGGCCAGGGGCGCGCAGCGGGGCGAGGAGCCGGGCGCCCGCGCGGGCTTGTGGCACTTGGGGTAGTTACTGAAGCACTCAAAGGTGTCGTTGCAGCTCCTGCAAGCCCCGGGGTGGTCCCCAAAGGCCGGGGATGGGAAGGGTTGGAGCGCAGCGCTGGGGCAGCCGCAGCAGAGCAGGGTACGCATGGCCTGGAGGAGCACCACATCCTTGGAGAGGAACTTGTGGAAGTTGGGCTTGAAGAGCAGGTACACCAGGGGGTTGTAGAGCGTCGAGGACTTGGCAAAGACGGCCGACAGCACGAAGGCAAGCGCTGGCACTTGGCTGGCATCACCCAGCACTGCCCACAGGGCAATGACAGCGTAAGGGGTCCAGGCAGCCAGGAACCCCAGGCACACGGCGATGCTCAGCTGGAACAGGAGGAGATGGTGGTGCTGTGAGCCTCCTGTGCACTTGCAGGATGCTGACCCCCCCCAGAACTCAGCCATGTGCAACAGGACCCCAAGCAGTTGGTCACATCCCAAAGGAAAGGTTCTGAGCCTTCTTGACCCATCCCACTGGAGCTCTGCTGTGTCAGACATCAGCACAGTGACTCAGCATGTCCCAGTGTGGTGCATAAACCTCCACTCCAGGCAACTCACACCCTGTCCCACCTGGGAAACACGGGAATTGACTCAGCCCAGTGGGTGTCAGATGGGTACAAAGGACCCAGGTTTGGACCAGGCCAGCTGAGTCCAACAGCTCTTTGGAAGCACCCAACCTCCCTCCAGCAATCGGTATAGAATCATAGAATAGTTAGGGTTGGAAAGGACCTTAAGATCATCAAGTTCCAACCCCCCTGCCATGATGACACCTCACACTAAACCATGTCACCCAAGGCTCTGGTCTTGAACACCGCCAGGGATGGAGCATTCACAACCTCCCTGGGCAACCCATTCCAGTGCCTCACCACCCTAACAGGAAAGAATTTCCTTCTTATATCCAATCTAAACTTCACCTGTTTAAGTTTTAACCTGTTACCCCTTGTCCTATTACTACAGTCCCTAATGAAGAGTCCCTGCCCAGCATCCCTATAGGCCCCCTTCAGATACTGGAAGGCTGCTCTGAGGTCTCCATGCAGCCTTCTCTTCTCCAGGCTGAACAGCCCCAACTTCCTCAGCCTGTCTTCATGTGGGAGGTGCTCCAGCCCCTGATCATCCTCGTGGCCTCCTCTGGACTTGTTCCAACAGTTCCATGTCCTTTTTATGTTGAGGACACCAGAACTGCACACAATGCTCCAGGTGAGGTCTCACGAGAGCAGAGCAGAGGGGCAGGATCACCTCCTTGGACCTGGTATGCAGACCAACCGAGAGGCTCTGGAAACGGGTCAGGCTCAGACCACCTCCTCTAAGCAGACACAAACCTCTCCTTGCAGGCCAGGTTTCCAAGCTGCTTTCTTTTACATTTGGGCTTTTTTAAAGGATACCCACCTTTTTTTTTGACATGTCCTTGGTAAGTTACAGCAGTGCTTGTAGCCTGGGGAGCAATGACTCATCAGGCTGCTCCTATGGTCTTTCCCAATGCAGCTGAAACTGAAATCTCCTCCACCTGATGGCTTTAAATGAGGAGAAACGTGCTGTTCCCCGCACTGATACAAACACCGGGGGACGGGGTCCTGCCACACGCACCTGCCCAGGGAGTGCTGGGCTGGGGACACCCCCAGACCCCGCAGCACCCCGGGGCCTCCCCTACCTTCACGACCAGGCTGTGCACGCTGCGGGCTCTGCGCTGGGGGGACGTGTGCTGCCGCACGGCTCTGCGGGACCCCCGCACCCTCCAGAGGATCAGCGAGTAGGAGGCGAGGATGAGGAGGCAGGGGAGAAGGTAGCAGAAGATGAAGAGGGCGAGGATGTAGAGCGTGGCCTCCCTGCTCGAGGCGTTCCACATGATGCAGCAGGCTGTCCCGTAGGGCTCAGGGCCGTAGCTGCCCCACTCGGCCAAGGGGGCCGTGGCAAACATGAGGGCATATGCCCAGATGCACAGCAGCAGCACTCCGGCGTGGCAGGGAGAGAACTTGTTGCCTGCAACACAGGGGTCAGGGTGAGGATGGGTTCCCATAGGTAAAGGGGAGCAGAGAGTGGGGTTGGGGACCCTGAGCTGCCCAGGCACAGGGGATGGGGCCAACTGCTGTGGGACACAGACAGGCTCCCTGAGCAGGGCAGTGCTGCAGCCATGGAGCAGGCAGAGCCATGCCAGTGCTCACCCCAGCACCCCAGGATGCACAGGTACCCCCCCAGCCCTTGGGGTGGCCAGAACAACGAACCAAGAGAAACATGAGGGGTTGCCATAAACCACTGAGGGTTGAGGACCAGCAGGGCAGAGTCTCTCTGCTGGGGGAGGAATTGCTAGAGGTCGTGTGGCCACTGATGGAATGTGGGGGGACAGAGAATCATAGAGTCAGCCAGGTTGGAAAAGACCTTGAAGAGCATCAAATCCAACCATTACCCCAGGACTACTAAAACCACCTAAACCATGTCACTAATGGCCTCATCTACATGTTTTTGAATGCTTCCACTGTCACTGGAAGGCTCTTTTCCTCTCTGGCAGACTGAAACCCTGGGAGAGGAGGGGCTTCTTCCTTACTGCCCGTCGCCTGTCAAACCTAAACCTCCCTGATCTTCTGAGAGCTCAGTATAAAGGGCTGCACCTTCAGCCATAAATGGGAGTAACATTTTTCTTTGAAACCAAGCAATTAAAAGCACATTGAAATTAGTCATTTCCTCATGGACAAAGGACTGGGGTGTCACAGGGAGACAAACTCCATGCGCCAGGCTGCCAGTGCCAGCTAATGTAGAGCAGAACCTGTGCAGGGAAAAGCCAGGGTACCCGGGCTGTGTTTTAACAGCCCACTTTTACCTTTATCTTTCCTTCCACCTTTATAGTGATCTCCTAAGCTGTTGTGCTGGCACATAAGGGAGGTGCCAGCTCTCCAGCATCGTCCTTGAGGCTGCTGCACAAAGCAGGTTGGTGGTTGGCAAGAGCCGCAGGCTCAGGGCAGGCAGCAGCAAGCCATGGGAGAGGGGTGAGGATGCGCCCTGGGGCTGGTCCAGAAATCAAACCCATATCTTTGATCTCATTCTATTATGGTCAGTATTCTTATGGTCATTCTGTTCCTGGTTTTGGCCTTTAACCCGAAGTCTGTTCTGAAGATAGGTCCTAGATGGAGGGTTGGCAGCTGGGCTGAGGAAGTGAAGAAGCAGCTCCAAACAGGAGGAGCTGTAAATGTACAGGGGACATGCCCGTGTCCCCTCACTCCCTCAGGTGCTCTCTTCAGTGCAGGCCCTCTCCAAAGAGCTGGTGCCCAAGCTTAGAGCTGCAAACATTACATTAGCTTTGCAGAGGAGGTCCTGGTAAAAACAGGGCTACAGAAGTGAGTGGCAACACTGCAAACCCAGTCCTTCTGTAGTAATTATTTCAGTGAATTAAATACATTTGGCCTGTGGCTCTCCCACCTGGGCCAAGGGAAAGCAGCTCTTCTTGCAGTGCCAGAGCTTGTGGCTTCCCAGAGGCAGAGTCTGCTCTAGTCTAAGCGCAAGTGTGATGTGATGGAGCATGTCTAGAGAAGGGTAATGGAGCTGGTGAAGGGTCTGGAGCACATGTGTGATGAGGAACAGCTGAGGGAACTGGGGTTCTTCAGCCTGGAGAGAAGGATGCTCATGGGAGACCTTGCTCTCTGCATCTACCTGAAAGGTAACAAGCAATAGGACAAGAGGAAAAGGCCTCCAGTTATGCCAGGGGAGATTTAGACTGGAGATTAGGAACAACTGCTTCACCAAAAGGGTTGTCAAGCATTGCAACAGGCTGTCCAGGTATTTAAGTGATGTGGCACTTACTGACATGGTTTAGTGGTTTAGTGCTGGGTTAATGGTTGAACTTGATGATCTTAAGGTCTTTTCCAACCTAAACTTTCCTATGACCCTGTATATTGACTGGGAATAGGCTGCCCTGGGGCAGAGTCTTCCCAGAAGAGGTGGATCTGGCCCATAAAACACAAAGGTTTAAGTTAACAGAGAGGGGTGTGAGCACAGATCAGATAGCACAGCCAGCACTTACCGTATGCTGGGTAACAGACCTTCAGGCAGCAAACCGTGCTGAGCACCGTGAGGCTGCTGAGGCTGCACAGCCCGAACAGGACCCCACAGAAGGCGTAGAGAGTGCAGACGGCCTGGTTGAACAGCCACCTGCAAGGGGAAGCCTGCGGTAACCCCAGCCCTGCCCTGCGCCCAGCGCCATGGCCGGCAGCCCCTGCCACCCCCTGCATGGGGATGCTCACCCTGGTCCCTGCTCTGGGTATTTCCCATCTGCTGGTCCCACAAAGCTGGCCCTGCATGGGGTGGCTGTAACAGGCTGCACATGTACCAGCTCCTGACTGCCCCAAAAAGGAGCATGATCTTGCCCTAATTTGTTCCCTGAGCATCCCAGTGACGAGCACAGATGGAGCCTTGGGTACAGGAGTGCCCTGATGCACACCAGCACACATCACTGCAATGCCCACGCCGCATGGGAGACCCACCCTAACCCACCACCAAACCCCTTTAACAGCAGTGATAAACCTGAGGGACAGGGAACAGCAAAGCACCCTGCTGTGGGATGGATGCCTGTGAGGTCACACAGAGCCCCAGCGCCACCAGACTGACCCCATGAGCCCATCCATACCCCTTGCCAGGAATCTCCCCATTTCAATACCAAAACGCACCCAGGGCTGTTTGCCAGTACAGAGCTGCCTCCACAAGGTACCTGTGTGCAAAGAAGGATGAGGCAGCCAAGGGGAAGAGCGTCACTGTCATGCTCAGGTCGCTGATGGCCAGGTTGACGATGAAGAACTCAGCAGGCTTCAGCATGGACCTCTTCCGATAGGCCACCAGCAGGAGCAGCGAGTTCCCAAAGAGGGACATGATGCCTGCGGACAAGGCAGAGGAACAGTGCTGTACGTAACAGAGCCGGGAAAGGAGCCAGGATCATCTTGAGATGTTTGGAAGCAAACACCGGAGATGTCTACAGAGGGTGGAAAGGGCTCCAGGCTTCCCTGTCTGGAGTGGGCTGAGCAGGGGAGCCCGTGGGACCTGCAGAGCTCTGCGAGCACATCTGGAGCTGCTTCACATTGAATCTGATCCCTTCCCCTTCCTGAAGTCCTACAGAGGCGTTTGGTAGGAGGGCAGGGATGGGATGAGACTGCAGTGGGCTCCGGGTGCAGGATCTGGCCAGAGTCACTTCTTCCAGATGGAAGGAGCGAGGGGGCACTTCCTTCCAGCTAGATAAATAACAGGAGCTTTGTGTGATTTCTCTTCTGATGTGAGGCCAAGGAGCTGGGCCCCTTCGTCTCTTTAATTTCTTCCTGGCAATGTCACTCCTGTGGGCCTGTGTTATCCAATATCACAGTAACAAAATAAACAACAAGAAAGGCATTGTGAAGATCAAGGAAAATCCAGACTAAACAAAAGCAGGCTCTTTGCTATTCATGTATTTAAAACAACAGCGGTGATTAACATTTTATAACGAGAGCTTTCTCGCCTTTTTCACTATGTAATTGTGCTTTCATTGCAAAGAGGTTTCATTGTCCTCAGAAGGGGAATCTTTGCTCTTCTTGGGGCAGGTTGGGTGGGATGAGAGTTTCTACCTAATGGTTTAGACTGTAAATTAAATACCATGGTAAGAACCAGATCCCAGAGCTGCTGAAGTTTCCCTCAGGAACAGGATTCCCACACAGAACGTGGCCAAATCCAGAGCTTTGGAGGCTTTGGAATTGCTGGAGGGTAGAGCACTGAGGTGTTTGTCCTCCCCAACCTCTTGAGGCATTTTTCCCGCAGAGCTAGTCTCACATAAGTACATTTTAGTGGCTGTACTAACACTTAGGAGCTGTAGGTGCACAGAGGACTGTTCACAGTCCCAGGGATGTGAGCATCCCTTGGCTTCCCCATCCTCACAGGCATGAAACACCCGGGAGACAAAATGCTCAGGGCTAAGGAAACTGGGAGGCTTTCCTTTGCCCATCATTCACTTCTGATCCACACCAACCATGTCCAGGCTACCTCAGAGCACATCCTAGCCCCTCAGCTTTGCCTGCTGGCCATTCAGTGCCACTAACTCCAAATCACAGGACATTCACCAGCACCTTCTGCTGAAAGCAAGGACCAGCCTGAGGTCTAAATCACCTTCAACAGTCATGAAGCTGGCAATGCTAACAGAGAGTCCCTATCCATCTCACATCAGGTGGCTGCATGTTTCTAAAAGGCTGTTCTTGAACTTTCCAAACACTTAAAACCATTACTGGTACTTGCAATTCCCTGGAGAGGTGAATGCAGCCACCCAGCTTTGGTCAGATCATCCTTTATGAGTAATGTGGGAAGGACCATTTTGATGGTGCTGCTAATGACTGAACACTTCTGGAAGCACCAGTGACGACAAAAGGCCTGACTGTCTCTGTCAGGCAGGCCCCTGGGCAGCCCGCAGCAGGGACACAAGTGTAACAGGCTGTCTTTCCTTACCAAAGACCAAGTAGAGCGTGCCAAAAATCAGGTCTTCTCTCTCCGATAAGGTGGAGATGAACACGGAGGTGTTGGACGCATCTCCCATCTGCAAAGCAAGATACAAACACAAGTGAGAGTGAACGCTGGCTAATGAAGGAGTGCCTGGCTTCCGAGGGCAGCTCTGTGACATGCTCCTGGCACTGCACTACAAGGGAGCCAGCAGCACACACCCCGCATGGCCCCACCACTGCGGGAGGTGGCTTTGTTAATGCTGGTGCAGCGCTGACCGAACCGGCTGGGCAGGGGGCTGATGACAGGATCAGGCTGTAATCTCACTTGATTACTGCTCCTTCAGTTACAGGGTTTACTGATTAGCATTGGCCTTTGGGTCTAAATCTTCTCTGAGTCTCAGCCATGCGCCGACTGCAGCAGACGCTGTGTGTTTGCACATGGGGGCCGGCTGCTCGGAGCTGGAGGCTTCATGTCTGCAAAGTACCCACCTCTTCCAGGCTTCTGGGGTCCTTCACATGCCTCCACCATCCCTGTGTCCAGAGAGGCTTGGCCCAAACTCTCTTTGCGATGCTGCCGGGAGCTGTTCCTGTGCCGTCCCGGCAGCATGCAACTGCCTCTACTGTGAGATGTGTGCTGTGTGTGTGAGAAGGGCCATGCAGGCAAAGGGACTTGGACCAAGCTGCTCATTGAATCCCAGACCCAGGAGACCCCACAGCCAGGGAAACAATGGAATTGTCACCCCCGGCATCACTGCTCCTGGTGGGGACCTTCCTTCTTAAGCTGTAACTAAACGTGATCCCTGCTGTGCAGTGCAGGCGGTGAAGAACGTGAGGGTGAACACGTGTACTAACACAAAAAGAATAGTAGTAAAAAGTCATTCCCTTTCTCAGGGTGCCTGACTCAGTCATTGAGTTTTATCAGTATAATTAGTTTCCCTGTTATTTTGTGCAGCTGAGCCAAAGGTTCCCAAGTGCTCAGGAAGTTAATAGGGGGTAGTAGAGCAGAACAGCAGACGTGTTTCAGGATATTCACTCCCTTCACTGATAACAAATAAATGGAAAAATACTGTGTTCAGGTAAAATAAAGAAGATGGGGTGAGAGAAAATAATGGTTTAATTATATGTTTCAATAGCTGTTAGCTTCCTTGCTGGGATGGTTAATGCATGCAGTATCCCTGCCTTCTTCACCAAGGTTCCTCCCTGCATGCTGCGGGAGAACTGAGAACTGCCCTGCCAGGGAGCAGGGGCAGCCATGGCTCGGTTTAACCCTCACAAGTGCCAACAGACTGCTTATTCCTGCCCCATCACCTCGTCTTCATAGGGACACACTGAGCTGGAACAGGGAATTAGATTTATGGGGAGGAGGTGAATGAAAAACTGCTGTGAGGTGGTTTGGGAGCTATCACATGGACCAAGAACCATGGGAGATGGAACCCCAGCTCTGCTGACATGGACTTCACAGCGTAACTCCCCTTGTTACCTGTACTGAGGTGAAAATGCCCACCTCTCATCCAAGGCTGCCTTCAGATAGATGGAGCTATTTAAAGTAACGAGTAAACTAGCTTTGAGTGTAACTGCATTTTAAGACTCTAATTGGCGTTCAATTGGTGCCAAGAGATCCTGTCAATAGTTTCTGTGTTACTGGCCCATACAGCCAAATACAGATGGGTAATAGTTCCTCTGGTTTACTTCATGGCTTTCTTGGGTTAGGTGGGCACACAACCTATGGCATGTTTACAGCTCACATTTACTACTTTTCAGTGAGCCTATCTCAAGCATCTGATGTTAAGCAATCAAATATTGTTACGGCTGCTGCCTACACACCATGAGTATGATGGAGTTGTCTCTGCAGACCAGGCAGGATGCTGGTTAATTCTTTTGTTAATGGGAGCTGCAATGGTCATCCATGCTCTTCAGTTCGCTTTGTTGAACTTCAGGCCTCTCTGGATGGTTCCTGCTCCCCTTGTGAACAGAGGTGGTGGAAAGCAAGAGGAGTGGTCTGTGCAGAGCAGTCCTGGCCAGTGTGTGCTGGACAGAAAGAGGTGTCATGCACTGAAGACAGAAGGAGCAACAGCAACCCCAGTTTCACCTTGCTCGCTCTAGTAGACATGGCCAAAGCCCTTGTGCTGCTGGCAGGCTCCCTGAGACCTGTTCTGCCCACGTTACTGGTTTGACAGCTTGGTGCAAATGTGATTTTAAATTAAGGTCCATTGACATCCTTCTGCTCAACTGACAGAGGCGCTCAGGGAGCTGGGCACCACTGGCCTCCTTCCCCAGCTCATTTACTGGCTTTTAGCAATGAGAAAGAGGCTCTGCACTGGCCCCATCCTCCTGCCTGGGTCTGGGAAGCCTGGTCTGTGGCACTGCATGGACATTGTGAAGGCAAACACACACAGCCCGGTTGTCTAACCGCTTCTGTCAGGGATTCCTACTACAAAAGAGCTTCCTGCCATGAACTTCACTTCTGGAGAAATGACCACCACAGCAGTGATTTTTGCAGTCTTTTGTTGTGCAGAATAAAGCATTCACTGAACAACAGTGTGTGCTTTACCAAGAAACTAAACTCCAGCTGTTATCTGCCAGGGGTTTGATATGCAAGCACCTATGGGGAAAAGCACCAAGCAGTGTGATTGCCCAGACAGGCTGACAGCCGCACAGCTAGTTTGTACTTGAACATACCAAACATCTCCTGTCCTGTCACCAGCACATACAAATACAGCACCACAGCTTTGCATGCACTGTATTTTGTACACACAGTTTGATGTCTGGCCATTTAATTCATTTCCTTTTAATAGCTGCCTGCTAAAATATGTAAGGAAAACATTAACATTTGCATCTTAGAGGCTTCCCACTTTAAATAATACAGCGCCGGTGTCAGAGCAGCAACTTGGCTTGGAGGACTTCTCCTTGCCAACCCAGCACACACTTGGTAGATGCATACTGATCTGTTTTTCCATACACTTTCCTGGCTGGGGAACATTGCTTTCTCAGTTCTGCTTTGGCACTGGGGTGTCACACATTTGAATGTCCTCATTTACAAGGTACAGTTCATGGGCATGAACTTGCTTTCCTTTGTTAACATAACTCACAAGATGCTTGCTTTACACCCTCCCTCTCCTCTCCCTATTCATCTCACAGGGTCACAGCACAGAAAACTGAGCCCTCTCAGCGTGGCTCCACAGCAGCAGATGCTGCTCGTGAGAAGTCACTGTAACCACCATCCGCTCGCTTGGGCTTTCCAGCTGCTCCATGCAAACTCCCTGGCCATCCCCTTAAACATCTACACAGTGTAAGTACCAGGGCACTCAAGGCGTGGGTCTGAGCAGCAATGAGCCAAGATCCACTCTGAGCTCTGCCTAGAGGGAAAAGGGTTTAGGCAGGAAACTACCCCAGCTCATAGTAACTTGGGGAGCTGCACACCATCCCTCAGCCTGCTCTGGGTGTTCACTGCCTCATCTTTCTGCACTGGCACTGCACTAAAAGCATCTCAGCGCTTGGCTCGCCAGCTGCTCTCAGGCTTTTCCCTTACAGGTTTATGCTGAAGGTGACTGTCCCCTCTCTGTGTCCTCAGCGTGACTGATGGCACCCGCAGCTCTGGGAAGCTCCTCCCTGCCTGCCTGGCCGAGGCACTGGGACGTGCCGGTGTCCAGCCGGGTGCCTTTTCCTATTTGCTCCCTGGGAGCTTGGGAAATCAATGAACAGGAGTCCCCAGCAGAGGCAATCCATCCCAGACAAAGACCCCAGCACAGAGGTGAGCTTTAAACTGTCCCTCCTCGCCCTGGTCTGTGCTGGGCTCATCTTCCAGCAGACATTAAGGCAATAACAAAACTGTTGTTACCTGCTCTGAGGGCTGTAGCTCCAGGCCCTGGGCTCTCAGCGTGTCCCCTCTGCAGGGGCAGCCTGCAGAAAGCAGCACAGCTCCTGCAAGGTTACAGCCCGGTGCAAGCCGGGCTCTGAGCATCCAGCACACACTGCTGGCTGCAGGGAAACCACAACATCACCTAGGAGGGGAGCACGGGGGCTCCGGGGCTGGGAAATGATTTCTCCTTTTGTGAGATCAATCATTCCAATAAAAGGATGCTCCTGGGCACCTGGTGCTGACCATGCAATGGGAGCCCCTTGCAAATGCTTTCATACCCAGGGTTCAAGCTGGACCTTTCCTTTTACTGACCGTCCAGTGGAGGTTCTCCCTTGAGATTTTCACTGACAATCCCAGTGAGTACTGGAAACCCCTAGCAAGAAAAAGGGAAACATTCCCTCAACTTCCTTCACTTGCCCTGTGTGAATCTTGTCCCTGCGCTCAAATCCTCACCGTACCACGCAGTGACTCATAGGGAATAGCAAAATAATGGGGCTTGTGTTGAGGTTTTGTTTAAACCCTTGCGAGTCATTTTATCTTAGGAAAAAGCATCGATGGCAAATCTGGGCTTTAGTGGAGGGCAGACAGCAGGCTGCCAGCCAGCCATGGGGTCTAAGGCTATAGCTGAAGAGAAGAGGCAGAACTGATGGGATGCTGCAGAAAAGTTCTCTGAGGAGACTGCTGCGTCACAAGAAAGCAGAAGAGGTTGGAGCCCAACTTCTCCCTTTTCCAGGCCACCCTCTAAAAGGTTTCTGAGGAGACGGGCATCCCTGCTCACCAGCACATCAGGAGCAAGGCAGGATGGGAACATCACTGATGCATATTCTTAACTGTCAAGGTGAAAAAGCTGCTTCAGAGTATTTGATTTTCACAGCTAACGAAAATCCAATCTCAATGTGTTTCCTATGATGAATGTCCTGAGGAGCCCACCTCTCCCTTCCTTCTGTGCCAAAGCATTTGAATTGATGCCAAGGTTAAATATATTCGAAAACCACCAAGTTATTAGACCCACAGTGTGACACTGTGGATGTGAGGGAAGGAGGGATGAGGTTTTGCTACACATTCATGAGCTTCTGAGTTTCTTGAGAATGTGACTCTTTCTTCTTAACTACAAACAGATGAAAGGTGGGCAAAGCTCCCACAGGCACATTTTGGTTGTGTGCATTGTGAGCCTGCGCCTTTGGGATGAATGAACGTGCTGTCAAGTGGTTATAGCTCTGCCTAGGGCACTGAGTTACAGCACTTGGACACACAAGTGTCTTCAGCGTTGCTTTGCCCACCTCTATATGCAGCAGAGTGCAAGGAAGAGAGGTGCAGCTTCTGGTGATGAGAGCTGGTGATGGGACAGAGCAAGCTGCGCAAGACCCAGCCAAGGGGCCATGTGGAGCCACATCCCATGGAATGGGAGCCTGGAAAACTCACTAACCCTAGGAGCAAAGCTGGTGCAGAGAAGAGTAGATGTGGAGGTGCTGGCAAGGGGCAACCCCTCTGTACCATGGGTGGGCCAAGGGACACAGCGCCAATGGTGAAACAGGGCTATGGGTTCATCTCCCCCACAGATGGAGCTCAATGCTTCACAGCCCAGTGAACATCATCCCTCTTACTCTCCTGTGCTCTTCGGATATTAAAGAGTGTCTGTGCACAGGGACAGGTGATTTATACCTCTCTGTACCAGACCGAGTCACTCCAGCCATGAGAATGACGTCCTTCATTAGCCTAATTAGAAACAACCTTCATTTAGGGCTGAGCAAATCATTCCTGAAATTCACATAATGCATAGATCTCCCCTAAGCCATATTTCAGCCTTCCTCAAGAGCCCTTGGAGGCAGACAATGCTGAACACAGGACACACACCGCCCCTCTGAGATGCGTTACCAAAGCACCCGTGTATTAAGAACACGGAGTCTGGGAAAAAGGAGGGACCATAGTCACACAGCTGCACTGGGGATGAGACAGGGCAAGGCCCAGCATAAACAGTCTGGAAGGAATTGTTCCTGCTCCTTGGCGTGCACGCACACACGCAGCAAAGGAAGGAGAGAACTGGCAAAGCTTGAGGACTTTATTTCCTTCAGCCCACTGGCAGGTCTCCATCAATACATCAAGGGAGCTACAAGTGTCCTGTGAGATCAAGCTGGCAAAAAAGTAACAGTGATGCAGGGGAGATGAACTCCTGTTTCTGGCGCATTACTTGGGATAGACCTTATTGTTATGATTGTGCTTGAGCTATTTGTAAAGCAGACGTCTCTCCTTGTAATACAGGAAATGATAAAAAGGCATCTCTTGCACTGATAGATCTGCTGATGTCATTGACACAGGGACAATAAATCCATTCTATAGGAATACGGAGAGAGAGAATTTTTGTGTCTGAAAGTAAATCACAGACTGGAACCTGTAAACTTCCTGTAGCTCTGTGCAGCACAGCAAGTGAGGATCAGTACAGAAACCACTGCAAAAACCTCAGCCTTGCCCCTGCTGCTGTCACTCGGGGACTGTAAAGCCTCCCCCCCCGCGGGATGATTTAGGAGGTGGTGCACTTGTCTGAGCTTTTCTGTGAGTGGGGTGCTGGGACCCCTTCACACCTGGCCCCAGAAGGTACTTACATGGTCTTCACCCTTGTAGCAACAAGACAGTGAGTAATCTCCTTCCCTGCCAGTTCACAAACCTGTTCTGGTTCCACCTGCCTGCTGCAAACCCCGAGCTGCTCCCTCAGGTGAGCATGAGACAGAGGGGGAAGCATCCCTGTCTGCCATCGTGTTTAGTGGAGAGTCACAACCTGCACAAGTATCGGGTACCAAACACGTTCATTTTGGACAGAAACAGCTGCTGTAGTTTTCTTACAACTCAAAAACATTTCAAACCCATGACTGTGCTCACTCAAGACTAAATCTGTAATTCCTATGGGAGAGACTTCACATGAGAACATCTCATCGGGATCTACCCAGCCAACACAACACAGCCCTTTAAAATCAAACTGCTTGGCCACGTAGTCCTTGGGCATACAAAGCTGCTGTTGAATTTGATTTAAGCTCCATTGCTCTGACTCTGTTCTGAGAAGAGACAGGCTGTGAAAGCTCCTTTCCCCTCAATTTAATCAGACTTCAAAATGAGATGAAGTTTTCCAAGCAGCTGCTGCGACAGGTACATTACCAGGAAACCCTCGTGTTCTGCATCACAGACCCTATTCTTGCATTCACAGGAAGAATCAAGCCTAAACCTACATCCCATGTCTGTATCCGCCACCTGGGAGGGCACTGGCAGGGCTGGAATGGCCGGACCACATGTCTGTCTGAAAAGTCAAGTGGTTTATATTGTATGATTGTCAGGTTTGCCCTTTTCATCTCCAGACTTGGACAGTCGCTTTCCTTCAGTCAACGTGCCACGAAGCCTGAGCCTTTCTTGGAGAGGAGGAGGAAACCTGATGAGCCTGGAAACTCAGCTGACCTCCAGTCTCTTTCGATAGTACATAACAGGAATCGATTTCTGCAATACCTAGCTCAGGAGAAGCTTAGACACCGCTGCCTGCCCAGCAAATAAAGCAAGCCTTAAGAAGTCACAGAAGAGGAAAAGAACACAGCTGAGTGACTGCTCAGTATCTGAAGGACAATTTGCGGTGTAAGAAGGCAGCCCTCAGTCCCCTACCTGAAATCACTTCGTAGGTTAGTGCTTTCCTGTGCTAGGACTGCCCTTCCCCATCAGTCAGAGACAAAACAAGTCTGCTTTCCGCCTCTATTAGACCCCCATGACCCCTCTGCGTGGGGGTACAGCCCCATGCACACACACATGCACCAGTGCCCGAGGTAGGGAGCAGGGGTGTCAGCCGCGATTGGCACTGCTGGTATCCCCCCGGGACACGCAGCACAGCCGCGGTGCTGTGCTCCCTCACCCCCAAGCCCCAGGGACACAGCTACGGGGCTCAGCTCCCTGCCCTCCCGCCCATGGGTCACCTACAGGAACCGCCCCCCCCCCTTACCTTTCCCGGAGGAGCCCCGGGCGCTCCCCGCAGCCTGAAACTTGCCGGGGCTCCCGCGGCAGCTCCGCGGGGCGGCGACGGACGGAGACGGGGGCGCAGGTTCCGCGGGAGCGCGGCGGCTGCCACCGCGGCTCAGCACCGGCGGCCGCGGACAGCTCCGCTCCCGCCCCGCAGCGGGGCTCTGCTCTGCCCCCGTGCCGCCGTCCAGGACAGCTCTTGCACTGCAGGGCCAGCACGGGCAGCTCAGCCCGGACACCCGCCCTCCCTGCACCCCGCTGCCCAGCAAGCACTCAACCTCAGCCCCCCCATCCCCAGCTGCACATCCCCTCCAATTGGCCTCAGAGCTGCTGTTTCCACAGCGAAAGAAACTGAGGCACGGAGAGCGTTGCTCCCTCCCCTTGGCCACCTCCTCTCATCCCCCCTCCCAAGAGCTGGTAAGTCACTCACGTCTCCCTGAAGATGTGGCTGGCCACCCGGCACGGCCCCATGCTGTGCTGTAAGGTGCTCCAAGGACATGCTCGGAGTGACGGGGAGGACAAGGAGGTGGGGATCGTTGTGCTGAGCCTGTTGCCAATTGGAGCTGGGTTTTATTTTCCACCCAAATCATTTGACCTGTCTCCTCTTGGCAAAACACAAGTCACGACCATCACTTAACCATGCGTTTTGCTAATTGTCTCTAACCCAAGAGCTTTAACTTGGTTGCCAGTTAGTAATGGGAGCAACATCAAAAATCCTAGCACTCCTTTTTAGAGCTCCAAATATTGCCAGGACTGCTGGTCAGTTTGAATTTCTGTGCTTTAATTTGCTTCAGAAAGGAAGCCCAAAGCTGGAGAAACACACAGCAATAGCCTTACGTTACTTTACGTGCTTTGGAAAGAGCCTTCATGAGAAACATTTACGGACTAAACAGCTATGTAAATAGATACATACTGAGATTATTATAAACCAAAAGTTAGTTGTTGTTTGTGTTCCAGAAACACAAAGGCCTCAGCCAAGTTTGAGGCCCCGTCGTGCAGTCCCCTCCACCCAACCAGAGTTAACCCAAAGAGCCGGACATCCACCAGGGAATGTGCTTCATTTCCTCTCTGGGATGGACCTCAGTCAAGATGTTCACCGACACACCAAAGGCCACAGAGAGTCCTTGGCAGAGTCATGAGCTCAAATAGCAGCAGCAGCACTTTCCACTCCATACTGCACTGTAACGGGGACTGCAAATGGTTACTAACTTTGTGGGCACGTTTGCACAATTGCATTATATTTTCTTAGCACAGTTTCCTTAGGAAACAGCCCTCCATCTCAGTCTGTGTCTCCTCAGCAACACCACTCCTCCCCAGTAGCACTTCATTCATCAGCTGTTGTCACCCAGATTTGGAAGAGGGATTGAATACTTTGAGATAACTTGCTTCCCACTTGGTTCGTGCAGTGGGGAGTGACCCGAAGGAGCTGGCTGGAAAGGTGAGAGTGCTCAGTGGAGATGCCATGGGGCAGGAAGCTGATCAAGCAGCACCCATAGACCCCTGCTCGCTGCCTCCCTTCTTGTCTGCAAGCAGTTTCAAGAGAGATGGAGGAGCCAGGGCTTGTGGAGGCGATGAGACAAACCCAACCCTGCGTGAAACCGGACTTCATAAGGTTGGCTGCTCATGGAACAGCTTTTTCATTTAAAGCCTAAGCACATAGAGAGGCAGGCTTAAATCCAGGCCCACCTCACTCTTTCCACACTGCTTTTTTTCCGGCAACAGTTGCGGCACAGTATGATCTTTAGAAGAGTACTTTTGATCTGGGCTTTAACCAACAGGTTCATTTCTAGAAACCAAACCTGACCTGAAGCACAATTCTTTGCTGTGAATTCTAGAGATTTTGGTATAGTCTTTGCTACACCAAACATCTCATTCTGTTTTCTAAGCTTCTTCCCCCCCCCCCCCCCCCCCCCCCCCCAAGAAAACCAAACCCCAAACAGAAAAAAAAAACAATAAATAAGCAGAAAAAAAGAACTGAATATCTGAGCTATCAGCCCCCCAAAGGAGCAAGAGCCCAAATGACAGAAAATGACCACAGGACGCTGGCAGCATTACAAAGGCAACAGAAGAGGGATGTCAAACCTACACAATGTCACCCGTCCCAGAACTAATATTTGTGGCTGCCAGCCAGGAGACTGAAGTGGGAAAGACTTGCCAAGTAGGTTACAGCCCAGAGAGCCCTGCTCCCCTTTCAGCACCAGCATTAATCACAGCACTGGGACTGTAATCCTGCTCCATTTTCCTCTGTCTCTTCCTCTCTGGCCCATGGGCCACAGGCAAAGGCTAACCGGAAATCGGCAATTCCTCTTGGGAATTCCTCCTTCAATTCCTCCTTCCTGAAGAGACCTACTTGAGTTCAATCTTGAGGCTGAAAGTACCTAGTTCTGCTCCCAATCCATTGCAACTCATGTGTACCAGTTGAGGTGGCTTTGTACAGCAGATCCTGTTGGTCCAAGGTCTTGCTTCCAGCTATGCCTCTGAAGAGACCAGGGTTTAACTCTCTAGATGCCTGTTTAATTCTGTTCTCCTGACAAGAACAGGTTTCCTGTTGGAAGATATTTTATCTAGATGCTTTTGTAAGTCTGTGCTAACCAAAGCCTTTTCATGTAATTAAACATTTAGGTTTTTAAGCATACAAATGCAGTATTTGCAGCATAACTGATGAAAACTGAGGGGAATGGCAATGAGCACAGGGACATGGGAACTCCCCTGCTCACTGGTGAGCCAGGAGGACACTGCAGCAACTGGTATCAGCTTTAACAGCACCAAACTCCAGACCTAGGTTCCAGATTTCACCTTTGAAATGAAGCTTATGGGCTCTTCCTCTTACAAAGAACTTGAAAATGAAAACAAATACATACAATCAAATTACTGTGGCTCTTCAAAATGGGGATCTGGGTTCTCCTTCAGCCAAGAGAAGCTGGTAGGGGAAAGAAATGCACATGTGGGTGTGCATACACTAGACCTTCCTGTCCAGAGGAACCCAGTAAGTGATGTTATAGTCATAGAACAACGCAGCTCACCTCCTAAAGCTTTCAGCCAGCTCTAAACACAGCGACAAAAACCCATGAGAGTCACCTTGCTTGTCAGCTGCACTGATGAAATGTTACACTCAGTGGTGCTTGCTCAGCTTCCAGCCTTTCAGGGCAGCTCCCTGCTTCCTCAGCACTGCTCTCCCCACAGCGCTGGCTCTCCTGCTCCCCAGCTGGCACATGAGGGTGCAGGTATCACTTTTGCACCAGGTGAAGAAGGGACAGTGCAGCCCAGCTGCTACCCATCGGAGGTGCTCTGTAGTGCTGTGTCCTTACCTTAGCATTTATGAAGCCCAGATGGTGGGAAGTAACCTGAAACTCATCCCTCTGCCTTGAAGAGACCACCAGCTCGCCACCAGATACAGGACCCTTTCCTGGGAGCACCCCATTAAAATGCTGGCAGCACACCTCTGATAAGTGGTGGAAATAAGGAGATGAGACCTTGAGAACCACTTGTCTCTGTGTTTGGACCTCCTTCCCTGTGGTTCTATCCCTGTGATGGAAGTCACTGACTACAAGCATTTGTAAGCGTACCAGCGTGTTCAGTCTTTTAAAGTACATAATTGTGCATCCAATTTGTATGCGCAAATACTACAACCTTTTCCAGGCAAACGGGGTGGATTTTAGTGCTCTGGTGGTATCAATGTTTTATCTTAAAATTAGTTATCCAGTATCCTCTGTGAGCAATTCCATCATTGATAAACGCACTGATGAGCTAAGGGGCAGAACGGACTCCACATTGTTGCAGTCAATCCTGAGACCGTGCTGAAATCCATGGACTTGGGTCTGGGGAATTTTGTAAGAGGTCTGTTCCTGATTACTGATGGCATTTAATTCACCCCAATCATCTCCTTGACTCAAGTGGCATCTTAAATCACAATTTTCCACCCTTAGTCTTATGCCATGTGGTTTTTCTTCCTTTTTTTGAAAACAGACATGGTTTCACCCATTTTAAAGGTCTCTGGGAATGGCAGTACTGAATACAGTACAGGTAATTATTCAGGTAAATTGTCCCTGAAAGCTGTATTGTTGGCAGATAACGGTGCTTACCAGTAGCTATTCCTGCTTACATGAGTGACCTTTACAGGCAATGAAAGGTGCAGCCCACACCTCGAACTTAAACCCATGTACCTCTTCTAATCACACATTTCAGTTTTAAAGGGGGACAGACATTTCTAATAGAAAACAGTAAGGAGACAGCATTTGTTTAAGTATAACACACCAGGAATGTTAGAAAGTGAAGGATTGAGCAGCACATGAAAATATCGCTTTCTTTCAGCCTAGAATTCTTGAGTTTGAACACGAACATTGTTTTAACACACTGAACACTGATGTCAGGAGTAGGTAACTATGCACATACATCACTTGCACATAGCACAGCAGTGACACATCTAAACGTCTGGTGAAACATTTAATCTCCATTCCAGTGATTTCTTAGGAACAAAGTCTTACAGAAGCCTCTCAAATGAGAAGACCCTCAGTGCAAAGCCAACAAAGAAGAAATTCTACCACACTTGAACCACTTCTTTGCAAAGCTGGGTGTTTCAGAAGGTTTGCAATGAACACAAGGCTTGGACTGGAGGGGCTGGGGTACAGGAGCATACAGCTTCCCACAGTCTCTGCTGAAGTGACATTCACATCCAGCAGAGAAACAGAGCCGTCACAGATGGGATTGCCTTAAATCACAACTAGA